GGTCCCGCCCCCGCCGCCCCCCCCGCCGGGCTCGTGCCCCCCCGCCCGTGCCGTCGCCCGTCATGGCCGCGCGCCGCCCTCACCGCCGCCCGCCGCGCTGCGCCGCCGCCCGCCGCCCGCCATCACGCTGCAAAGACAAAGACTCGTTAGTGCCTGCGAGGGACAGCATGGCGTCGGAAGCAGACCTGCAAGAATAAGGATTTGATGAAAAGTTCTTTAACACTTCGTGAGAAAGTTGATCATAAAAAAGTCTCTTCATAAGTTGGTTATTGATATCTAATTCTCAATCATATTTGCACGTCATTCTCTGGACATGCATTGCAATAAACATGCAGTCATTAACAAACTTAATTATTTACACTACAATCCACAAGCAACTAACATTTTTCTTAACAACAAGGCATCACACAGTCCATGCAGTTCTACTGGTGAGTTACACTTAAGATTGAAAACAAAGATTTTGTTTTACGATGTAATAACTTTAGAAGTTTATTTATTGTTGAACAATACTTGAAATGAAAATAATTATCTGACACCAATTCTGGCGAAACATCAACATTTTTTCTCTCTCTCTTCTCTATATGTACACACACACAAACACACGAACATATATATGCAAACACACATGCACATGCACAGACACACACACACACACACACACACACACGATAATACCATACACACACACACACACACACATACATATATATATGCACACACACACACACACACACACACACACACAACAACACACACACACACACACACACACACACACACACACACACACACACACACAAACACACACACATATTTATATATATGTATATATATATAATATATATATATATATATATATATATATATATATATATATATATATATATATATATATATATATATATATATATATATATAATCCTTGATCGTAGCATGCTTGCCCCTTGTCCCTGTTAGAGTCGAACGAGTAGCTTGTTTATAGAGCAAGGGAATAATCAGTGAGCAATGCGACGAGTAGGAAGGCAGTGTTCAGGAACGAGAGGTCTAGAAGCTTGATTCATGAAGTGTATCTTTTAAGCAAAGGGAAAAGAAAGTCTGAAATACAATTACGTTTTGCAGACGATTCTGAGAGGCAAGAAGGGTTGTTGAACTGCTGTTGAAGGAAAGTATGTTAAGTGCCCCAGGATACATTTAATTTTTTACTGTGAGCACACGAGTAAGTAATGGCTTAATCCTCTTTATGTTTGTGATTGATATGTATATCTGCTTGTATGTAGCAGTTCCTTTTTCTTTTTTTGATTGAGACAACATTTCTCTCTCTTCTCTCTCTCTCTCTCTCTCTCTCTCTCTCTCTCTCTCTCTCTCTCTCTCTCTCTCTCTCTCTCTCTCTCTCTCTCTCTCTCTCTCTCTCTCTCACACATACACGTACAAATACACATACCCCCACCCCTCTGTGCACACAGGTAAACAAGTTTGCAAAATGAAGATAAATAAGAATACAATCTGGATAAAGACGTACTATTCATCAACTTGCGACCGCATAAACACTAACTTTGTGCCTCCGTTGCGCCATGTGGCCTTAAGTCTAAACTGCGAAGAGAGATGCTACGTGTTTTATTTAAGCATTTTTTTGCTCCTTTGTTTACACGCAAAGCGCACGTGTGGGTGAGGTCTTGCACATTTTAGAAAATAAAGAGGTTTTCGCGAATGAAACATGCATAGGTAGACAGACAAATGGATGGATGGATTGATAGAGGGATAAATAGACAATTATATAATTAGGTAAATAGATAGGAGTATATTGACTGACAGGGATAGATTATTAGGGAAAGGGGAGGAGAGAGACAGAGACAGAAGAAGACAAACAGGGAAAGAAGTATATTTGGACGCAGTGCATATTTGATGATCCCTTGTTTCGCAATGGGCACTCACCGGAGTCAGAAATGTAAGCCCAGGCAGATCTTGCACAACGTTGCACACCAGTTGCACACGATCACAGCCGTTCTTCTTTGACACTGATATTACGAACGAAATGTCTCGCAGCTTTCGTTACATTTTCTGCATCCTTCACTTAATTCTTCGCGCCCACTGGAACATGTGGTCATTCGAATCTTAAGATCATGAACTTTGTAATTACCTCTTATTACGAACTGGCAATCTGTACATGATCCAATTTTCAAACAACTTTCTCTTCTTCCCAATTCAGTTAAGATCATTTGTATCAGTCGACTTTCCTTTCTGGAGATTCAGGCACCGCGCCAGGCACTCGACCTCCCTTGCTAGCCCTCGCGATGGCACTGGCCTTACTAGGATCTAGAATTCCAGGGTTGGAGTGTATGTCACGCTATAAGTAAATTACAGGCTACTGGAACAACGTATATCGACGCGTTGAGCCCGTAGTTCTCAGACTTCTCGCTAGGTGGCACTCGCTCTGGCTCCGTCTCACCGTTCTTCTCTCTCTCTCTCTCTCTCTCTTTCTCTCTTTTTGTCTGTCTGTCTG